TACATGCGGTCGCCGGTCAGATCAACCTTGGCCGCAATCGGCATGCCCTTGCGCAGCTTCCAGCTCGCCCCGTCATTCGACGCCTTGATGATCTCCGCGCGCTGCCCCGTGATCGTCTGCAGCGCCATCAGCGCCGACAGCAGGTGGTGCTTGTTCTGCAGCGCCTCGCGGCACCGGATATGCACCGTCACCTTCTCCAGGTGCGGCGCGTTGTGCGCCGTCGGCTCCGGCTCCTTGGCCTTCTTCACCCGCTGCTTGTGCGACCGCACCGGGTTCGGCGGCGTTCCCGACGGGCCGTTTGCCGCCTTCTCCTGCCGTGCTACCTCCGCCGCCTGCTGCCGCGCGCGGACTGTCGGCGGGACGTAGCTGAGGATCGTGAGATCGTCGCGCAGCGTGTTGTGGTAGAACTGGCTCAGTCGCGACTGGTACGTGCGCACGTTGCTGGTGCTGAATGCCCGCACGCCTGCCGACGACCGTGCTGTGTGCCGAGTGACCGCTCCAAACATTTTATAAGCTCGATTCGCTGCAATGGGTACAATGTCCAAGGAGTAGAGAGAAATTCAGGGAATTGATGTACCAACGAGCTTGACCTTTTTGCTTAGCGCAAACGGCTATCTTTTTGCGTCCCAGCCCCCGATTACATCTCATGATCGCGATCACTGCCCTTTACCCAATGGCTGTTCACACGGCGAATTGTTGTGGGCCTAAAGCGCTGCACGCGTTGGCCGCATTTTTACCTTCGTTTTGAACTCGTATTTGGCCTGCCCATTTCTCTCACACCTTGCGTCGCATTCCTTATTTACTTATTCATACTTTTTTTTTACGCGCTGGGTTTAAAAAATAGTCGACAGGTTCTCTTGCCAGCGCAGCTCAGGGCCAAACCAGTTTTTTTAATTGCGCTCGGCCACCGTGTCTCCAATTCGACTCTCCAATTAATATTTTCCATTTCGCGAGAGTATCCCACCATACCCCTCCTGGCCACGTTTTTGCCAAGGATACCGGCTCAGAAATACATACCATGGCGACACCCGACCATTGCCCGCACACCGCGCGCATAGCATCCGGCACACTAGACCTCAGCATAGACTGGGATAGGCGCAGCTACCAGATCGCACACCGCCTACAAGCCCGCAACGCATGGCCTGCATATCTAACATCAGCCGAGCTTCCCTGGCTCACCAAAGCCCTGGAGTCGCCAGAGAACTGGGCAAAGTTTATTTCGCCGCGTGCCGAGCAATGGCAGGCCAGCGCGCCGCCGCCGCCAATTTTTGATATTTCTGGGACCAAGACACCGCCAGAAGCCACTAGCGGGTCGCCCATGCCCGCCAGGTCGCGGCGACCAAGCGACATGGCCGGCGGCAAACGGAATGCGCCAACAGACGGTGTTGCACGGGAGTCCGACGATGCCCGGATCGGAAAGCGGCCACGCACCAGCACGCTGAATTCGCTGGAGCTCGATGACGAGATGATGTCGGTATTGTCCGAGAGCGATATTGATCTGGTGGTATGGACGAATGACGCTTCGGTGGCATCGAATGGCATGTCGCCGGTGTCCGCAGACGACAGTAATACGCGACGAGCATCGCCGGGCGCTGCTGTGCAGATCAAGGACTGCACAGCGGCTGAGAGCTCGCTTGTTTGTGCCATGGCAGCGTTCCACACGCGCGCGGCGATCTACGAGCAGTATGTGGCGGCACTGTGCAATGACCAGTGCGGGCTGTGTAAAGATGCGGTTGACATGCGGAGAGAGATCGAAGAAGTCGAGGAAGCGCTTGCGCCGAAGGCTGCACCGGAGGAGACTGTCCCAGAGCCGTCAGCACGGGTGCCGTCGCTCATGGAGATGAAGGCCCCGGCCAAGCTCGTAGCGCGTAGCCTCGATGAAGATGAAGACTATGACGATGAGGAGGACGAGGAAGAGGAGAATGTGAAGGTGAAAGAGGAGGTAGCCCCATTACTGGTCAAAAAGGAGGAGCCAGAGCAAAGTCCAGCCGATGCACCAGCAGCATCACCATCATTGCCATTAGACGAGAAACAAGCGCCTGCAGACACTGGCCCATTGCGTCCAGTCCAGATTTCCACCCGCGCAGTGATCCGCACGCTCGATGAGCAAGACGAGGCAGTGGCCGAGCAGGCACGGCTCGAGAGCAACCGGCGCGCAGTCGCAGAGGTGCAGGAGCAGCGCGCAGCCGAGCCAAAGGACATGCTGGTGAACCAGATCGGATCGCTGTACCACATGAAGAACCTGGCGCAGTTTATCGACAACCACCGCGACAGCGTCAGCATGTCAACACGGGAGCTCACGCATCTGCTGTCGGAAGTGCGGCCCAAGCGGTCCAAATGGGCCAGCGACCGGCGGGTGGGCCAGGAGCAGCTGTACAATGCGCTGGAGCAGGTCCTGCAGGACCTGAAGACCATGGGCGCGGCATCGGCGCCGTTCCTGACGCAGGTCAAGCGGCGTGACGCACCTGACTACTACGAAGTCATCGAGAATCCCATGGATCTGAGCACCATGGCCAAAAAGCTACGCGCACTGCACTACAACAGCAAGGACGAGTTCTGGAGCGACGTGCAGCAGATCCGCGACAACTGCTATACGTACAACACGGAGCCCGGGAACGTCTACCGCCGCAATGCCGACGCAATGCTGAAGAAGGCTAAGAATCTGATGGAGTCGGTGCCCAACATTGTCGTGCGCGAGCGCGACGGGTCGGCGGCAGTGGCGGATGATTTTGCCACAGAGTTCGGCGACGAGAGCGGCGACGAGTCGCAGGGCGCACGTACTGTCTACGGGCAGCGCGAGGGATCGATCCTGGCCGACGAAGGCACGCCGGCGCCCGGCATCTCTGGTGACCCGCACAACACTAGCATGGCCTCGGTTGGCGACGATTCCGCGTCTGCATCGGTGCCGCCCACTGCCCCGCAGCCGGTCCAGCCGGCTCAACCGGTCCAGTCGGTCCTGGTGCAGAGTCTGCTGCGTGCTACCGCCAACGGCACTTTGGCGCGCGACGCTGTCGCCTGCCTCACCGAAGGTATCGACGTGCCGCTGGGCGAGAAGGTCTGGCGCGCCCGCGCCCGCAAGCGCCTGCTCGAGCACGCGCGGCAGACCGACGACGACCGGCAGCGGGCGCTCAGCGACCGACGCGCGCCAATCCGCTCGGCCCAGAAAATGTCCGCGTTCGATCTGGGCGCACATGAGACCCACGAGGTGCTGTCGGAGCAGGACCTGGAGCTGATCGAGCAGCCTGGTGACATCTCCGAGCTTTTGACCGTGCTCCCACACGCGTCCGGCACCGCCGGCGCCGCAGCTGCCAGGAAGCACAACGAGGTACTGGACGAAAAGCGCGCGGCGTGGCAGCAGCGCGCCGATGAGCTCGACCGGCACGCGTACGAGTTTGTCTGTGAGAGCGAAGTCGCTGCTGGGCTCCCCGCCAGCGAGCCGCTGGTGGAGCAGGTGAAGAAAGACGGCGTCGTGCGGTGGCTTGACGAGGACAGCGAGCTGACGGTTGCCGAGCAGTTCGCCGACATGCCAGCCGAGTCGGCACTTTTGGTTGCGGCCACCGCCGAGCGGCCGTCGCTGGAGGCATATGCGGCCGGCCGCATCCCTGGCAGCCGCATGTGGAGGGGCATGGCCGACAACATCGACCAGCTGCGTCGCATCCGCGAAGTCAACAACAAGATCTGGGCAGCCAAGCTCAACGTGCCCGTGGCCTTTCTGGCCGCCCAGGGCCATGCATCTGCCAGCAAGGGCGCTATGGATGGCCGGTCCGACGATGCTGCCACCATTCCCACTCGTGACCTGTATGCCGACCTGGCCGCCCATCCCGACCCGCCTGCCGCATTCCGCCTGGACGCCAGCGGATCGCGGCGGATGCTTGAGCGCGTCATCGCACTGGTCCTGGCCCACACGGGCTTCGAGACCATCTCCGCCGACGCCATGGCGTGTCTCTCCGACTTCATCATCGACTACATGCGCAACCTGGGCCGTACCCTCCGCACATACTCGGACAAGTACTCGCGGTCCATGAGCGCCGAAGCCATCCTCGCCCATACGCTCTACGAGAACGGCTCCGAGGACCTGGTCGAGCTCGAGTACTTTGTGCGGGCCGACACTGAGCGCACCGGCGTCAAGCTGGGCGACATCTACAAGAACATCACCAAGGCATATCGCGATGTCATGTCCGAGAGCCGCCCGGACTCGGCCCTCGACGACTCGGCCCTCGACGGCGCCTTCCTCACCGGTGCAGTCGGCGGGCTCGGCGAAATGGGCGACGACTTCTTTGGCTTCAAGGCCCTTGGGCTCGACAAGGAGCTCGGCATTGAGAATCTCGCCATTCCCCAGCGCCTCTGGAGCGGCCGCGCCAAGACCACCAACGGCGAGGAGGCCCCATCAAACCCCGACGATGCGCTGCCGTTCCCGCCACCGGCGCCCTGGCCACCCATCACCACTCCCACGAGCCAGATCGCTCTGATCCAGCCCTTCCTGTGCGAAAAGCTCAAGGCCAAGAACGGCGTCTGCCCGCCAGGCTTCGAGCATCTCCTGGACGAGAAGCCCGAGGAGGGCGCCGCTGGTAAGGACGCGCCCACGATACCCGACGCCTGGGAGCCCATTCCTGAGGACGACGACCTGCCGCCAAAGACCCGGTATGGCGCCGCGCGGCCCAAGGTGCCGGCACCCAATTACCTGACCCACCCGCGCACCCACATGCACGTGGGATCGGGGAAGCCCGCAGCGCCCGCCAGTCGCTCAGCCAAAAAGAAGCCAGCCAAGACCACAGCCAGCAAGACCACAGCCGGCAAAACGACGGCCAGCAAGACGACGGCCAGCAAGACCACTGCCGGGGGCAAGTCGACCAAGTCGAGCGAGTCAAAGAAAAAGAAATAGAGGGATACATGCATCCTTTCTTCGCCGAATGGACCTATGATGCAATAGCTGTAGCGGTGAATGTGCATGCACACTGGCGATGCTCTCTCTGGCTGTAGTCTTGCAAATTAATATCTATTTTGGGCACATCCTTCATCCTCTTGCCAGGTGTCACAGGCAGACGTGGATTGGCAGCAAGTACAGTGCCGGTTGTACAGTGGAAAACACCCAATGTATGGTGCTGGAGGGGCGAGGGGATGACTGAAGGGAATTCCATTCCCAGGCCATGCCGCTCCAGCCTCCACCGATCCCCTCTCTCGATCAACTGGATTGGTAAGCCACTTCCAAAATGTTCCGTGACTACTGCAACCCCACCTGCCAGACGCAGTAGTGAGCAAGGTGCTTTCAGATGGGCAGGGGCCCGGGTCGGCCACAGTCAGCCCACCGGCAAGAGGTACAAAAGCCCCTCATCCCAGCCCTGGAAAGGCATCATTTTTCATCTCTTTACTCAAACCGCTCCGTTTTTGCAAGCTCTTTATTGCCAACTACTCACATGTACACGCTTTCGCCAGGCTCCCGCGCATCGCTGGTTTCGCGCGACTCGTCGATCACGCTGTGCACGTACCGCCAGGAGGAGCTGCGCGCTCATCCTGAGGTGCTCCGCATCATTATGCAGTATCCGCAGATCCGGGGCACCCGCCCCGCCTCGCTGCCCAGACACGCGGTCCCGCAGCCACGCAGTCTACGCCAGCCACAGCTGAGCCAGCCACAGCCACAGCCCCAGCAGAGAGCTCCCGACCGCATGGTGCTGCTCCGGAGGCTGCGCAGTAAACTGATTCGGACCAAGCCCACGGGACCGCGCCAGGCAACCGAGATCTAGGTCCGCCTTGTGCATAGAGCCATACACCATCTGTACTATCTCCCAACCACCCCCTTTGTTCTTCCCAATTTACATAGCCTGTCAAAAAAGAACGTATGTCTGATAACATAATACATTGAAACGAGACATGGAAAAATAGGTTTTAAGAAAGAAGGAAAAAGAACACGGGTTGGGATGAGCGTTTGGGAGGGGAGCAGAAGAGAGCTTTGCAAAATTATTTACAGCCACGGATGATTCTGATGCTGCGCAGCATGCGGCGGCAGCACCTGGTACGGCTGCTGCATATGGTGATGGTGGTGGTGCATGTACTGCTGCGGGATAGGCGGCATTGGCTGCTGCTGCTGTTGCGACTGCTGCTGCGACTGCTGCTGCTGCGTGGCAATAATCGGCGGCTGCGGCGACATTGTCGGCGGGTTGGTGCGGCGGCGGCGCTGGATATTGACAATCTGGTCCGGGTAGTCCCGGTGGAACATGGCGTGCGAGAACATCCACCACAGCTTGCCATCCGTGTCGGGGATCTTGCGCCGCTGGTCCGTCAGCCGGTTGAAGCGGTAGTCGTTCAGATTCTTCTCGACCGAATGGTAGTTTTGCGCGCGCAGACCTGCCGCCTGCAACGCCGCCAGCAGCTTCTCCGAGGACGAGAACTTGAACGCCGTGCCGTCCTCGGTCCACCGGATCCATGACTCGTTCTTCGGCTCCTCGATAATCCTACATGTGCATGAAAATTAGGCATGAGTGGGGTGGGCGGAAGTGGGAACTAACCAAAAGCGGGCGTGGCCCACTTGCCTCGTTCATGCATTTTGGCCAGATGCATGACAGAGGAGCATGCCGCTTTTTTTCCCACTGGGCTATTGCAGTGGGACTAACCTACCTGTGCAGAAGAATAGGGAACAGCGGGGTGTCACTCGTCCGCTGCCGCTGCGTGAACGTAAACGACCGGTCGCGGATGTTGGCATTGCCCAGCACGTGCGGCAGCCCGCCGCTCTGCTGGTGGTGCGGGCTGTCGGTGCTCTGCGAGCGGCGCCGAGCCGTCCGCGAGTCGTCCAGGGTCGCTGGGAAGCTGCGCACTGCGCCTGGCGTAACCGACGGCATGCTGTCGGGCGTCAGCGTCGTGGCAGCGCTGGCTGGCGAGCCTGCCATGGTGGTCGCGCTGTGGTACGTGTGGAACCGCTGGTGCGCCTGCATCGGCGGCAGCGTGTTGGCCGGCCGCGAGCCGCCGTGCGACGAGATGTTCAGCGCGGGGGGCACCGAGAACGTGCCTGTCGAGCCGCTCGATGCGCTGGAGCTCGCCGAGTGGACCCCATGGTTGATTATTGGCCGCAGCGGCGTGTGCTCGGGGCTGAGCGGCGTGTGCTCTGGGCTGGCCAGCTCCATCAGGCCCTGCATGCCCGTCAGCTCGTCTTCGCGGTACTGCGTGCGCGCTGGAACCGTAATCGCCTGCCGGTGGTTGTCCTGCGGCGCCAGCAGCGCACTGACCGGCACTGAGCTCGATGGCTCCTCCTCCATAATCACGTCGGCTGACACGTCGTGCGACGGCTGCGACGTTGACGACGTCAAAAACTGGATGCTCGTGCGATAGTCCGTGCCGCCACCGCTGTGCGGTGTCTGTGTGGCCACTGGCGACTCAGCGCCATACATGCTGCTACTGTCTCCAGCGGGGCTGCTGCGCGTGTGATCAGAGTTGCTCTACAAACACAAACAATGCTTAGTTTACTGGTAAGTGACGGTGAGAGGGAGGTAAAAAAGGACAATGCTGGGCTTGTTTGTGAAGGGAGCCATTCATTATGCGCTACTGAGCTGCCTCACCCATGTGTCCACGGGGAGGATTCGCCCTTCTTTTTTTTTCTGCTGCCGCTGCTGCACACGCACTCGTCAAAGAGTTGATTGAGAAGCGCGCTGCACTCGGGTACCCAGGCACATGTCCACTGCGCGCACATTCAAAGTACAAAAAAACAGAGGTGGGCGTGCGCATCCCCTTTTCGCAGCCCTCCGTTGACAAATGGCACACAAAAGGACGTGCCACCTCCACACACACGACACATATCCAGGATGCTGTCTACATACCATTATTAGTTATAATTTACTTCCCAGGCCTTTTTTACAGAGCGGGGAGGGGCAATGTGGAAACTCAAGTGCCGTTGCGTAGGATAGCGCTAATGGTGTCTGCTGGTGCAAGATAATGAACCGGGCTTCTTTTTAGGCTCCGAGAAGGTTTCCTTAAAGGTATGAGAAAAAGGGCTAAGCCAAGGGTGAAGGAGGGAGAAAGGAGGGGTCGGGTTAGAAAACGGAAAGAGGGGAAAAAGGAGAACAAGGAATCTTGTTGGCGGTTCTTTCAGTTGGAAAGCGGCGTGAACAAACAAAGGATATAAAAAACGTAACAGGAAGAGAAAGGGAATCAAGGTTGAAGCAAACGAAAGAAAAATCCCGCCTTTTTGCAATGAACGCAGGGCGGTTGCGGCTGGGAGAGCAAAACAGGAACTGGGGAGCAGTGAGGAGTTACACAGTCGAGGAAGACAGGAATAGGTCGGGGCTGGCTTACTCCAGAGAAAGGATGCACACCAGTTAGTGGAGCGAAAATGAAAAAGAATAATTATTTGGAGTGTCAGAGACGAGAGAGGGATGGGAACGAGAACAAGTTCAGAAGCCCAAACCAGCCATTTTGCCGCTCGAGCTCGGCGGGAGGGGGTCATTACGCTTACAAGGGCGATTTCCCGGCAGCTGACTGCCACCTAGATGTCCTTTGCGGCACTGGCATTCGGAAGGACTGGAGATCACGGGGGCCTGGTAAGCGTGTTCAGAGGGCTGCGACGCCCGCTGCTAAATTCGCCTTTGGAGGATAATGCCTGCTCGAGGGGCGGGCATTCGCCGCCTGCGGGCCCTCCCTGTCGCAGCCCAGGAACAAGCAGACCCCATTCTACAGCCTGCATGGCTGCCGCTGCCCAAGCTCATTCTCCGGCGATGCCCCCTTGTCTCCGCGACCAAGAACCGCGAACTTCTCGATTCTCACAGTGCAATGTGCTGGAGAATATCTGAAACTGGACTCAATTAACCTCGCTGCCGATTGGATCCGCCGCTCCCCGAGCACAGCTTGTGCTCCTCGCATGCAGAGCGAAATTGCCTTTGTCGATCTCCAATCCACGCTGCGAAATGTGTCTTTTCCCATATACAAATTTCTGGCACGGGGATGCGACAAAGGATACTAAAATCTCACTAAGTAGATTGCAGATCTGGTAATACGAATAGACGTGCTACTGCTACTGCCCCTGCTCCTTCCTGGACTTGAGCTGGCCAAACAGGTCGCGCTGCATGCGCTCGCGGCTCCTGGCCTCGCTCAGATCTGCTGCCGACCGCAGCCCGTTGACAATGTCATGCGTCTTGCCGAAATACACCTCCTGCAGCGCATTGCGCATCTTGAACTCCATGTCCTCCACCATCCGCCCGATGTTGACGATATGTGCGCTCTGATCCTCCACCGCCAGCTCGCGCTCGTCCTGCCGCGTCAGCGACCCCGACAGGTTGATCTCGTTCTGCCGGTCGCCGCGCGTCCCGCTCGCGACAGTGTACAGCATCACCGTGCTCGTCAGCTTGTACTGCGCCTGGCGCCCCTTCTCCAGGACCTCGATCACGTGGATCGAGTCCCACGAGCCCTTGGCACGCACGGTCCCGTCGTTCACCTTCTTGATCAGCACCACCCCCGCAAACGAGTCGTCCATGTCCCACAGGTACACCGACGACACCCCGCCCTCGTAGTACAGCTCCCTGTACGTGGCAAACGCGTCGTTGGCCGCCACCTCCAGGCGCCGCAGGCGCTCCGAGGGCGTGCTGCCGTCCTCCAGCGGCGGGTCGTACGTGTTGCTCCACGGCGACCGGTACGAGTCCCCGTCGCGGTTATAGTCGCACACAAGGTACTCCTTGCCTGCCGTCGTGTCCTGCCGGATCCGCAGCGGCTGGTCCACCGACGAGAGCAGCTCCTCGGTCAGCTCTGGTAGCACCTCCATCAGCGTCACCAGGTTCTCCTCGACGTTCTGCGGCGGCAGCCGGCGCATCAGGTCCAGCGCGCAGTCCATCTGCTGCTCATTTTCGTCGTAATCGGCCATTGGGGCAAGTGAATGAAGTGGATGTGTGATTATAAAAAAAAAAAAGAATGCTAGAGAACTGTGCCAAGTGGAGCAGCAGAGATTTCTGGAAATCGTTCCTGCTGCCAAGCCGCCCCACCTGTGTTGTTTATCTGCCCGCTCCGCCGGTTTGTTTTCTGTTTTCGCCATCTCTCCTCCGCTTTCACTAACCAGTCTCTATTATGCTGAACCCAAAGACCACCCACCGCGAGTTCTTTGGCGTCCCCGGCTCGCTGGCCGTGATGACCGGCACCACCGCCGTCCTGTACGTCTGGTACTTCTCCTGCAACGAGCACAACGGCTGCCAGCTGCCCATGTCTGCCAGCCAGTGGTCCCACATTCTCGCCAGCGCGGCCAACTACCGCGCGTACCTGAGCCTGGAAGCCCTGACGTACTACACCATGTGGTGGCTGTGGCTTGCCCTACTGTACTTCACCATGCCTGGAATCACCCTGAAGGGCATCAAGCTGCGCGACGGCACGCAGCTGGCCTACCCGATGAACGGCCTGCGCAGCTTCTTCTTCACTGTGGCCGTCTGGGCCTTTGTCTACAAGAAGATCGGAACCGCGCCGTTCCTGTGGATCGCCGACCACTACTTCCAGCTGGTTGCCTCTGCCTGGATCTTCTCGACCCTGCAGGCCCTGTTCGTCTACCTGTACTCGTTCCGCGCGCCCTCGGTAGAAACCCCCGGAAAAGACATTGTGATGCTGGCGCACGCCGGCAACTCGGGCAACCCCATCTACGACTTTTTCATTGGGCGCGAGCTCAACCCGCGCATCGGATCCTTCGACTTCAAGTTCTTCAACGAGCTGCGCCCTGGGATCATGGGCTGGGTGCTGCTCAATACCAGCTTCGCCATCAAGCAGCACACTGTCTATGGCAGCGTCTCCAACTCGATGTGGCTCGCCATTGTCCCCCAGATCGCCTACTGCATCGACACGCTTGTGTTTGAGGACAAGGTGCTGACCACAATGGATATCACCACCGACGGCTTCGGCTGGATGCTGTCGTTTGGTGATCTGACCTGGGTTCCCAGCATGTATTCGCTGCAGGCCCGCTACCTGGCCTTCCACCCCGTCCACCACTCCACATGGTTCACCGTGTTTGTTGCCGTGTTTGGGCTCGCCTCGTTCCTCGTGTTCCGTCTCAGCAACAGCGAGAAGAACGCCTTCCGCACCGACCCGAACGATCCGGCTCTGAAACACCTCAAGTACATCACCACGGAGAGCGGCAGCAAGTTGCTGGTCAGCGGATGGTGGGGCATGGCCCGCCACATCAACTATACCGGTGACTGGATGTTTGGGCTGGCGCAGTGCATGGCAACCGGCTTTGACACCCCCATGACTTACTTCTTCTCGGCCTACTTTTTGGTTCTGCTCCTGCACCGCAACTACCGCGACGAGTGCAAATGCCGTGACAAGTACAAGAAGGACTGGATTCGGTACTGCGAGCTTGTGCCCTATCTGTTTATCCCGTTTGTCATCTAGCCACCACAAATACACATGGCTATAGCCACTACTCGCTATGGATGTTATATGAGCAGCTCTAGATAAGAACATAAAACCGCACCGTCAGAATGTTTATCAGAATTAGTGGCAATCTTGATATATCCTGTGCATCAGGGAGAGACATATCCAAGTACACCACGCGTTTCATGGCATGTCCAATACCGTTTACAAATATAGCCAAGTCTGTATTCGCGCCATGAACCTGGAATACGCATACCCATTGCTTGAATCTCTGAATGGGGGTGTGTGCTATCTATCCACGCTTTACATGAAGCCCCAGGCTCGTTCCTGCCGTACAGTTAGCAATGCCAGCCACTACTGCATATAATAATGGATATACAATATACAGACTGAAAAGTGATTGTGACTGCAGTGCATAAAACAAGGCCATGCGGCGAATGCACCGCACCCATGAAAATGCTGGCAGATCGATATTACCATAGATATTTTGACCAAATATCGAGAGCAATGATCACAATAATGGAGCAAAAACATCAAAAAAGCCGTGAGGGGGAGGGAGAATAGTAAAGAAAAGGAATCCCCAGTGTATTGTGCATGCGCGCTAAGAGCAGCTACTGATACGCAGCATCCGAGCCCATTTGAGTGACAAAGGAGTTTTACCTACCCACCCACCATACAGTTCTCTCCGACATTTCTTCCTTCAACTATCTTCTCACCTCTGGGTGATTATATATTGCAATGAACTCGGTTGAGGCAAGTGAGAGTTGTTCACAAGCTGCTATGAGGTATGAACCTATTATTTCAGCTGGTGTATACATAAGAAAGGCAGATCTGATCGCGGATGTAATTCGAGTTCAAATCTGTGTGTAGCAGGTAAATATCAATAGCAATTTAAAAGATGTCTCTATTTGTAAGCAGAATGAGACAAAATCCATTTACAGCTCAACTAACCGCAGGTAAAGTATTTCAAAGAAAAGTAAGATATGCGAGCGTGCTCCTTAGGTATCAGGGGGCCAGAGTCCCAGGTGGTGGTGTCACTAAATAGCGATAGTGACAGGCCGGGTAGGGGCAGCGGTGATGCTGTTGCTGTATATGGTTCCAAGCGCGAGAGGGGAATGGTGATGTTGGTGAGTGCAGTGTAGAGAATGGTAGTGGTTCTATGCACATCAGCTGCTGCTGCTGCCATCTTGTGAACCAGCCTGTGGCAGCCGGTGGAGGCATTGACAATCTCAGTCAAGGCCTGGAAGACTACATGCAGCGCCTCCAACCTGCGTGGCGATGCAGTCATTGCGGGAGTAACGAGGTGAAAGCGCTGGATCACCTTCATGTGCATCATGCTGTCTGCAGCCGTTATGCTGCCTAGGGGCTCCCCCTGCACTGAGCAGAGGTAGGTGTTTAAAGCCATCACGCTGGCAGCCTGATTGACCACCTCAATTACATCGACAATTTGGCAATATATGAGCTGGTATTGTTTATGCGTATGCGTGTGTGCTGGAGTATCGCTGTATACAAGTGCAGGTACAAGTGCGAGATTCTTACTTTTTGGTGCCTGTATTGGATATGCTCGTTTGAAATACTACTCGTGGGAACTACAGG